CAATCGGCGCAATATTCTTTATGAGGAACTCCTTGGAAAACTCCGTCGTTATCTGCAGCGCTGGGATCGCTCGGTTCTATCTCACGGGGGTCGATTACAGTTAATCAGGAGCACTTTGTTCTCGCTCCCCCTATATCTGCTGCAGGTACTTTGCCCCCCCCAGGCGGTACTTCACTCTGTGGAGCAACTTTTTGCTCGTTTTTTCTGGGGTTCTTATCACGGGCACCGCCGCCGCCATTGGATCTCCTGGGCGGATATTGCACGGCCACAGGAGGAGGGTGGGCTTGGCATTCGTCGCCTGGCCGATACGGTTCGGGCCTTCTCGTTTAAACTGTGGTGGCGACTCAGAGATGGCTCCTCCCTTTGGGCTCGCGCGCTTCAACAGAAATATTTTCGGAATTCCTTTCCAGGACTTGCACCCTGCAGGAGCTACGACAGCCCGGTTTGGAAGCGTCTCTGCCAGGTTCGAGATGAGGCACAGACTCAGATCACTTGGAATTTGGGGCGCGGGGACTGCTTCTTCTGGTATGATATTTGGTGTGGAGATCGTCCGCTATGCGCTGACCGCCAGGACCGCCCTCCGCCGATACGGGTGAAAGAGATGTGGGTTAACGGGACGTGGGACATGCCGCGCCTCCGAGCTTACCTCCCTGAAACCCTTGTTCAGCAGGTCTCGGCGATTCCTCCTGATCCCCAGACTGCGGATCAGCCGATCTGGAAGGCCTCGACCACAGGTACTTTCTCTACAACCTCAGCATGGGAGATGAGCCGAACAGCTGGAGCACGGAGCTGGCTCTCTTGCAGCTTGTGGTCGCCGCTTCTTACTCCTACAATGTCGGTATTCCTATGGCGTTTATTTCGCCGTCGGATACCCGTCGATGAGGCCTTACGGAAGATGGGCCTCCCTATTGTCTCTTGCTGCCAGTGCTGTCGGGAGTCTGAGACGATCGAGCACTTATTCTTCTCGTCGGCGGTTGCCCAGCGCGTGTGGCGCCATCTTGCTGATCTATTTCATATCCAAATCCCGCGGACACATGCGCCCCACCTGATGGTTTCCGCTTGGCGTCTGTCCTCCCCACATGCGCGGAGTATCCGTACTTATATACCGCTCCTGGCCTTCTGGTTTCTTTGGACGGCACGGAATGACGCCAAACACCGAGGTATCCAGATTTCATCTGACCGGATTATTTGGCGTATTCACTGTCATTTGCAGGTCTTAGGCCGTGCCGGCCTCCTTCAGCGTCAGCACTGGCCTGGGGAGGTGCACCTAGCCTCTAGTCTCGGTCTTCGCCTCCCACCTCCGGTTCTTCGGCCGCCGGTCATGGTACACTGGGAAGCCCCGTCTCCAGGCTGGTTCAAACTCAACACTGATGGGGCATCGCTCGGGAATCCAGGCGCCGCTGGAGCCGCGGGCGTCATTCGGGATGCCACCGGCGCCCCAATTGTGGCATTCCAAGTTCCCCTTTTGAATACGACGAACACTTTGGCCGAACTGCAGGCGATTCGATCTGGAGTGGACCTGGCGGTTGCCCGCGGCCTCCTCCCTCTGTGGATCGAGACGGACTCGGCCAGCAGTATCTCTCTCATCTCCTCCTCGACGGGACACTGGACTCTCCAGCCTTGTCTCCACCACCTGCGCCTACAGCTTCGCAGCATCGAGTGGAGGATCTCTCATATTTTCCGCGAGGGCAATAAAGCGGCGGACAACTTGGCGTACACCTCTGTTGCCCTTCCTCGTATGCGGACCCTTGAGCCGGCGGACATCCCAGCGAGGACCCGTGGCCTCATCCATGCTGACGCGGCGGGCCTCCCGTGCTTTCGCTTCCGTTAGCTTTTAGTTGCTTACAATCTTTATTTACATTTACAGCACTTGTACCGAACTTTGCAGAACTACGTATGGCTTGATCCCGTTGGGGTACGTAGGCAGCTCTTTGAGCCCAGCCAAAAAAAAAAAAAAAAAAAAAAAAAAAAAAACCCTAAACCCTAAACCCTAAACCCTAAACCCTAAACCCTAAACCCTAAACCCTAAACCCTCAACCCTAAACCCTAAACCCTCAACCCTAAACCCTAAACCCTAAACCCTAAACCCTGAACCCTAAACCCTAAACCCTAAACCCTAAACGCTAAACCCTAAAATTTTTTTTTGGCTAAAATTAGGATACGACAAACACTTTGGCTGAATTGCAGGCGATTCGATCCGGCGTGGACTTGGCGGTAGCGCGCGGCCTCCTCCCTCTCTGGATCGAGACGGACTCTGCCAGCAGTATCTCTCTCATCTCCTCCTCGACGGGACACTGGACTCTCCAGCCTTGTCTCCACCACCTGCGCCTACAGCTTCGCAGCATCGAGTGGAGGATCTCTCATATTTACCGTGAGGGCAATAAAGTGGCGGACAACTTGGCGAACACCTCTGTTGCCCTTCATCACACGCGGATCCTGGAGCCTGCGAACATCCCTGCGAGGACTCGTGGCTTCATCCATGTTGACGCGGCGGGCCTCCCGTGCTTTCGCTTCCGTTAGCTCTTATTTTTTGTATTTTCTCTTTACTTTTCCAACACTTGTACCGAACTCTGCAGAACTACGTATGGCTTGATCCCGTTTGGGTACGTAGGCAGCTCTTTAAGCCCATCCAAAAAAAAAAAAAAAAACCCTAAACCCTAAACCCTAAACATCCAAAGTAGGTAATTGAAAGAATAGAAATACAATAAACCAATGAAGTAGTACCTTGCTTCTAGATGTGTGTCATAAATAAACACGATTTCCCAACTTGACACCCAACACATTATGTGAAGATCAATATACAAGATTAAGGTCAAAATCATCTTGCAACACAAAAGCATCCAAAATCTATGCGAAGTGGCCATTACAAAACAATACATCACATCAACAAGTAATTGACACATAATTCAACATTAGAAACATTATTGAAATACTATTTCCAGCAAAACCCTCCAATTAGTATATGCAAACAAAAATTATAAATCTTAAAATAAGAAACTAACTTCAAATCCCCAAAACCATGGCAAAAATTTCAAAGCAAGAAAACCCAAAAGGTAATCGTATTTTAATAGAACACCCAAAATGTAAATCATTACAAAAAGAATAAAATAAAATAAAAATCATGAGACACTATAGACAAGGGAAGAAGAGATTTTGGTACACACTTTAAATCGATTTTAACAAAAATCTGAAATATGAAATATTGCAGCAAAAAAAAGATAAACTACCTTCAAAGCGGCACGGAGAAGGAAAGGAAGAACATCGATGTCGATCTGGAAGCGATGACACACCATTAGCACCTGCAGTCGAAGTCCAAGAATGAGTAGGCAAGTGGATCGATTGAAGAGAAGAACTACAGTTTGCGTTTGAGGATGTGGGCAGCGAGGCTCGCTGTCAACGGGTCACGAAGGGATGGCGGAGCGCGGTCGATGGCCGAGGCAAGTGGAGGCGGCGCGCGGTTCAAGGGTGCAGAGCAGATTACAGTGCCGAAGGTGAAGGAAGATGTATGAAAAGAAGAAGAAGAAGAAAACGAAAAAGAAAAGAAAAGAAAGAACGAAGAAGAAAAGACGAAGAAGGAGATCGAAGAAGAAAATCAAAGAAAAAAGAATAAACATTGAAAGGGGGAGGGGCGGTGCATTAAGAAAAATATTGAAGTTTTTATTTTAATTTTAATTTTTAATTGTATATAATAATTTAAATTTTAAATAAATAATTATTTTAATTTTAATGTGCATATATTAATATATAAGTATTATATATGTATATATGATATATTATTTAAAATTACTTTAGATTAGTTTGAAATTAATTAAAATTAAAATTATTGTAATTGTAACGAAAAAAATACCGCAACAAAAGAAAAAAAGTTTTTGTAACAAAAAATTTATAGCGAATAAGATTTCGCTATAAATGATCATTTTTTTTTAGTAAAATTGTACATTTCAATTTTTTTTTAAAATCAAATTGAAATTAAATTTCCACGATTTTGATTTGTTATTTCCGATTTGAGTTTCAGTTATGTCGTTTTAGTTCAAAAATCATTAATTTTAGTTTAAATGCTTAGTTTATATATATATTCCTTTTTAATTCTTCAGTTTTATTTAATTTACAATTAAAAAAATATATAATTTTGATTTATTTTTAGACTTGTAATTACACAAAACTAGAACAGTTATTCTTAAACGATTAAACAAACCAATCAACAATATTATTTTGTCCATTTGTAATTATTTAGTGCCCAAAAAACCTTAAATACCAAAAAACACAAACAAACGTAAACCAATTTTAAAATTCGAAATTAAATGAAACTCACTTGATTAATGGGAAACAATCAATATATATTTTACCAGTTAAAAAAAAAATTAATAATTCAATTCAAATATTATTTTTTATATTAACATTCTAAATTTTTATATTATAAATATATATACAAAGTGACCCAATATTACCCGAAAATATGCCCTTCAGATAAATTAAATGCGGATGCATTCACAATGCAATCACCCACCTTGAAGTTGCAGCAGGTTAAGGTTAGTTATGCAGATCCACATAAAAGGCCACCAACCCTTCACCCAATCTCCATGTTTACATTTGAAATAAATAAAACAAATTAAGCCTCACGAACACCACATGTGCTTTACTTTATGCTAATTCGTATCAAAATTAAATACTTAGATCATATATAATTAAAATATGCTATCAAATGATTTAAGGCTTTGTTGATGTAAGATACTTTCACTTCACACTATTTATTTTTCAAAAAATATCATATCAAATATTTTTTGTTCATAAAATATCAGATCAAATACTAATTTTTTTTATTTATTTATTTTTTTTACTTTTATTTTTTAAATTTTCAAAAATCTCTAAAAAAATCTCTATCCTATCTAAACAGAGCTTTACTTTCTGGGGGTTGATTTGTGTTAAGAAATAGTCTCACCACGAGCATTTCATAATTCTCCAAGCACGAATCCTTTCAATCGATCGAGTAAGAAAAATAATTAAAAAACAAAAACCTTAGAAATATAAAATTTCAACAAGCTAGGTACGTAACCATAGATTGGTATGAATAAAAATGTTGATGGACACATGAATATGATCGAACATATAATGCTAGCTAGTTATGCGCGCGGCTGTATGGGATACTTATCGATACAGTCAAACCATGGGTTCGAGCCGCACTCTCGCGCTGGGATTTCCCTCAAAGCTTTCCAAACAGCACTGTTACACTTGAAACCCGACCCGAAGGCAATCTGCCACACTCTGTTGCCTCTGGAGACCCTTCCTTTTGCTTCCGTATAAGCTAGCTCATACCACAGTGAACTGCTAGATGTGTTCCCGAAGCGGTGCAGCGTCATTCTAGATGGTTCCATGTGCCACTCGCTCAGCTCCAGATTCTTCTGCAGTGCATCTAGCACCGCTCTTCCTCCAGCGTGTATGCAGAAGTGCTCGAACGCAAGCTTGAAGTCAGGAATATAAGGCCTCACCCCGCTGCCCACCACCTTCCTTTTCACCAGTGTGATAAGAAACATCAGCTGTTCCGACAATGGCAGAACCAGAGGTCCCAGCGTCGTTATGTTAGTCTTCAGGGCGTCACCGGCCACCGCCATCAACTCTCGAGCTAATGAAACTCCAACTGTGCCCTTGTCGTCCTCTCTTTGGTACACACAGCTGTAGCTGTTGTTGTCCGATCCTTTGTGGGTCCGAATCGAGTGCAGCAGCTCGTACTTTGACCGCCGCTTGTCTTTGCCCTTGTTTGACAGAAGAACGGCCGCTGCTCCCATGCGGAATATGCAATTGCACAGCAGCATGGAGCGGTCATTTCCAAAATACCAGTTCAGGGTTATGTTTTCTGTGCTCACGACGACTGCATACGTGTTGGGGTTCGCCTGTAGCAGGTGCTTCGCCAAGTCTATGGATATCAGGCCTGCGCTGCATCCCATCCCCCCAAGATTGAAGCTCTTGATGTCAGTTCTGAGCTTGTAATGGTTTACGATCATGGAAGAGAGCGATGGGGTTGGGTTGAACAGGCTGCAGTTCACGATGAGAATCCCAATGTCCTCCGGCTTAACCCCCGTCTTGCAAAAGAGGGAGTCCAACGCACCGAACATGACGGCTTCTGCCTCCAACCGGGCTTCCTTCATGGACAGGCTCGGCGGGCTTGAAGTGATCCCCCTTGGAAAATAGGTTTCGTCACCAAGCCCCGAGCGGTGTGCTATTTTCTTCTGGAAGTTGATTGACTCTTGTTCGAACGCCCCATTCTCATTTGTCATCTTCAGGAATGAATCAATGGACAGCTTCCTTTCATCCTCTGGCTTGTAGCAGGAAAAATCTACCAAGTAGACGGGCCGCGGTCGCTTTGCCCAGCAGAGGCCCAGCAAGAACATTAGTGCAGTAGATCCAATGACGACGGTGGCGGCGGTATCTAAGAGGATGGTTTGAGTGATCCATATGCCAGAGGAAAGGCTGATTGCTAGGCCAGTGAGCTGAGTGGCGGCTGTGGCGATTAACAGAGGCAGCAGAAGGAGGGTGGCAGGATTGCACGAGTAGCCGTACCCTAATTTGACGTACTTGAGCTTCACAGAGTGCAAAAAGTCGGGCAATTTTTGCCGGATCCTGATGACCATAGATGAAGAGTCCTTGAATGCCACTTCCGCCAGCAGCCTCTCGTCATGCATCTCTATGCTATTATTCATTTCTCCACCGGACCCCTCCATCTGAAAAGGAGAAACTAAAAAGCAAGGAAAACGAATTCGATCGATCAATCGGTCGGTCGGAAGACTCTAGCTAGCTAGCTAGCTAGGACAAGCAAGGTAAACCCAATATAATCAAACCCTCGAAGAAAACACCACTGAACTGAAGGAGAGGGGTGGGGAGAGGAGGGATTCGTTTGCTCAATCGATCGTCTTCTCGACTCGCAGCTGTATGTATATTTGATCTTGTCTAACACGTCTCCGCGCTAGCCAGCTGTAAGCCTGTATAGACCGAGGGAAACAAGTATATGTTTTTATAGGGATGGTACCGGTACTGGTTATGTTAAAGATGGAAGAGTGGCGGAGAGAGACGGGACGAAAGTGTGCAAGAAAACTTGCCTAATCGGCTTAACAATAAATGACAGGAAATGCATTCGGACAGAGAGTTCACCTACCTCTCCGAAATTGGATTGGGAAAAGTTGGCATGTATAAATTAAGAAGAAACAATTAATAATAAATTCCCAGCCTGTCTTCGGAGTCTAGTCTAAATGTGCCAACCAAATTATAGGTAATGTTGTTGATCGGTGTGGGGCTAGAGACCAAGTGGCCATGTGAGATTTCGTCCAAGCAATAACATTTGAAACATATCACGATAGGCCGGTGGGTGGGTCTTTGCTTTATGGATTGACCAATTATATATAGTGGAATGCATACACCAACCTGGCTTTTGTCCAAGTTTCTCGATCAGGGTAACGTTGCTAGCGTTGCTTGTTTGCTAATTCTCACCATTGATTTGCCTATAGTGTGAAAATTGATCTAATCTAATTTAAGAAAGAGATTGTTCTTTTATATATATAAATATATATATATGGAATTAAATTTGATAAGATAAATCACTTAAAAAAAATTATCTACAACCGTAAAAAATTTTCAGTCAAACTAGACCCTATAAGATAAGTCATACTAGGCTAGGCGAGCCATGTATGACAGTTGACCTGAGGCGTCGGGGTTTGAACCCATGACCTTATGGTCAAAAGTAATAAAGAGAGATAATTTGATAGTAAAAATTTAAAAAATTACTATTATTAATAAGAAATTATCCATGAGTTTGGAATTTATCAATTTTTCAATAATATGGCATTATGAAAAAAAATAAGGATACTTCAAAAATGGAAAGACGATGCAAAGTATCTCTTAATGGAGACAATAAATACAACCTCCTAAGTGATAAATAAGATCTATTTAGGCCATACATTCACTCCACGCCACATATAATTTGGAAATTGAAGAAACCGAAGAAACCTAGTACTTAATATTCCACACTTTTTGATGTAAGTATTATGTTTTGAGAAATAGACATTGTAAGTTTGATTTGAAGACGGATGAAATTATATTTTTGGAAGATTCCACTAATAGTCCTTCGTATCTTCAATTTGAACACAAAAAAAGTGGTAAAATCTCCCAAGGTGAAGCTTGTTGATAAACTGAATATAGGAAAGCAGCATAAATATGATCATATTAGTCATTATAGTCTCAGACATAATTTGAAAAACACTCACATTGAAAGAAATTCAGAATTTTGGACTATTTTAGAGATAATTCAAACCCAAAATGAATTACATGACGAATTTATTTAATAAGAATCTAGTATTAACAAATAACTCAAAACTCATTAAAGAATAAGGACAGTAGCTATGCAATAAGAATTTGTTTAATTCGAAAGGAACCAAGTTTAAAAATTGGTTGAACCATCCTTAGATATCAATATTATTGATACAAAATAGATTTTCAAAAAATAAAACCGATAATAATAAAGATGTGATTCAAAACAAAGTAGGACTTGTTGCACAAGAGTATTTTCAACTTGAAGGGTTACACTATGAAGAAATATTTGTTCTATAGCTAGAATTGAAGTTGTTCATTTATTATTATCGATTGCTTTCACTTTGAAATTTAAACTATAAACGTCAAAATAGTTTTTTTTAATGATTATTTCAAGGATGAAGTTTATGTTGCTCAATCAAATAACTTTAAGGATTCAAATCATGTCTATAAATCTATGTGCATGCTATGACGTTTTCATCTCACTTACTTGCAAAGAATTACAACATAGACTTTGTGGACAAAATTGTATTCTTCATATGATCAACAAATGACATTGTAGTCATTCATATTTATTTGAATGATGTCATTTTTTGTTCAACCTTAGAAAAATTGAAAGATAGGTTCATAAGAATCATGTTAAAAGAATTTGAAATGTTTATGATAGATGAACCCAACTACTTTCTAATATTTTAAATCGAACAACATTTAGATGAGATATTTCTTAATAAGAGTAAATGTGCACAAAATATGATCAAAGGGTTTGGATTGGACAATTCTATGGAAATTCAAACTCCAATAGGATTACAAGATAAATTGACAAATAATATATCTGGAAATTCAGAAGCTATATCGAAGCATAATTGGAAATGTTCTTTATCTAACAACTATTCGACTTAATATCAATTGTAGTGTTTGTGTATGCACTCAATTTCAATATGAACATAAGGAATTCCATATGAAGGTGGTGAAAAAAATATACTCCCTCCGTCCCAAAACTATAGTTTGGGTTGGGTTTGACACGGAATTTAAGAAATATTGATATTATATTGATAGTAGGTAAAAAGTACGGGTAAAAGACTTTTTTGCTCTTGTGAGTGTATTAGTGTAAAAAGTAGTGGCAATTGTGTAATAATAATGAATAAATAAAGGTAGTTTTACAGTGATATAGTTATTTATGGAAATGAGACTATTATTTTGGGACGGACAAAAATGGTAAACATGACTATTGTATTGGGATTGAGGGAGTATTAAATTAACAATAAATTTGAGATTATGATACACAAATGATTCATCTCTGAATCTGATCGAATATACAAATGTCAATTGGACCAAAAGCTATGATGATAACTGTTGGATTTTTTGTCCTTCGGATCCACCCCAATATTATACACAACACACCAATTATCTAAGCAGCCCATTCGAACCGGGCCTGGCTTGTGACCCACAACCCACTTACTGACTCTTACCTGTAATCCGCACCCGCGCCCATGACCCGACCCGTTACCCGGCTGGGGTCCGCGTCCCTTTGCGATGCTTGATCTGGGCCGTTGATTATAGATCTTGATCTTGGCCGTCCATTTTCATTTGGCATGTATATATAGAGAGAGAGTCATTCTTTGATTAATCTTTCTAATCTCACTCTCTCTCTACGCTCACTACTCTCTGGCCTTTCCCCTCTCTCTCTCGACCCACTGCTCTCCTCTTTCCAGTGACTTTCACGGCGGTTCACGGCGGTTTTTCAGTGGTGCCTTCCTCTTGTAATCTTGTGGAGTTCCTGTGGCATGTTTTCCCTTTTGTGTGTAGTCGTTCGTAGCCGAAAGGGGCTCGTTCGACGCGGTAGGCCTTCGGGTGCCTTGTTTGTGTCGATGTGGGGTTATATGTCGTGTGTATCGCGGTCGCGGCCGGTTCGTTTGTGTAGTCGTTAGATTAGGTGTGTATTGTGTCGATTTTGTGCTTTTCTGAGTTGGTTGGGGCTGAGCCTAACCAAACTAGTTCAATATTTGTGTTGTTACTTGATTTCATAAATAAAATACTTAGATCCGTTAATAAATTTCATAACAAGTGGTATCAGAGCTTCGGTTGAGTTTTTTATTTACGAAATCGTGATTTATTGTTGATTTTGTAAAGTTCTACTCAATACTTGATAGATCTGTGTGAAATCGAAAGGATCTGGTTGAATCGAACCTGTATTAGTGCGTTCGGTTCTTTTTTCTTTAGATTTGTTCAAAATCAGCCCTGTTTGAACTCGATCTGTGATTTTTAGGTCACTGTCGAGTTGTTTTATGTGTTCTTCGAACAAAACCGCTACTGTATTCTGTAGATCGGTGGAGTTTGAGTAAGTCTCGGTTGTTGTTTAAGAAAATAAACCTGATTTTTTTTTTGCTCGCCTTATTATTAGTTAAGATCTGTGTTTGTTTGGTTTTGAATCTAAAAGTTTTTCCAAAATCGTAAGTGTTTTGTTAAAACTGGTTTGGATCTTGCAAAATTCTTTTAGATCTATAAAACCGTCATCTATATCTTGTTAAAGTCTTTAAGAGACTTAAAATCGGTCTCTGTATTGAATTAACCTTTTTGAATATCTTGAAAACCGATTTGAAAACTGTTTTGTGTTTGGTTAAAATGTGTTAAATTGTAATCTGTTTTTCAGTTAAAAGTTTTAAAAACCAAACTGTTTCTTTATAAATCGGTTTATTCTGAATTTCAGTGGTACATATCTGTTTCTGTTTGTATCGTGCTAAATATCCCCTAAACTTGTATTTCTATGATCTAATATTAGTTAGAAGAGAAACAGTGTCATTGTTGGAGATAATTGTTGTTATATATTGGCTAACCCCTATTCTCGAAAGAGTATAGGTTTATGTATATTTTTTCTCTTGTATACTGTAGGGAAAATATTGTTACAGTGCTTCAAGGGTAAAATCTAAAACCTTAACTTTTGTTACTACTTTTTCAGTCACTCTGTTAATTCCGCACAAATCGATTGTAAAGACTATTGGGATACCAAGGTTGCAAAACTCCGATCCTCACTATTGTGAGTGATTTTTCGAGTACCTTCGGTTGAATAGTCACGAGTGAATGTTGTAATAGATAGCTTTATTAATTGCTCGTGTTTGATTTGTTTGTGTGCTATGATTTGTGGTATTTGTTTGGTTCTCATTTTGTTTTTAAATAATTCGTATTTTTGATAAATTGTTTTTAAAAAACTATTTTTTAGCCAAACAATCTGTGTTCTTCTCAAAACTGTTTTTGAGTAAACTGTTTTCGAAATTGATAATCATGGCTGGACATAATAACAATAGTAATAATAATAAAAGAGCACATGCAAGTGACTTAGCCAATTTGATTGATGTGAATCGAAATGTGGGGGATGTGTTTGATGTTATGACAGATTTAATTTCAAATTCTTTGTGTGCAAATGAATGGATTGTTGATTCTGCATGTACATTCCATATGACACCTTTGAGAAGTATTTTTTCTGAATTTAAAGCTTTAACACACAGTTATGTTACTATGGCTGATAATCGTGTGTGTAACGTTGAGGGAATTGGTGTTGTCAATTTGAAATTTAAATCTGGTAATGTGATAAAACTGCATGATGTGAGATATGTGCCTGGTTTGTCAAACAATTTGATGTCATGTGTTAGATTATCTACTTTAGGTTTAGAAGGAAAGTGGGGTTTAAATTGTATGAAAATAACAAAAGGGTCTTTAGTGATTTTAAAGGCAGATTTAAAAAATGACTTTTATATAACCTCTGCTATACCTGCTAATGCATGTTCTGATTTTGATAATTCTGAAATTTTTAATTCTGAATTATGGCATAAGAGGTTAGGTCATATAAACAATAATGGTCTGAAAATTCTGCATGAATCTGGTTATTTGGAAAATGAGAAATTTTCTGTTGTTCCCTTTTGTAATATGTGCAAACTTGGAAAATTAAATAAAGTTCAATTTTCGTTAAAAACCCCTGAAAATGTTATTTTTTCAAAAAGTATTTTGGAATATATACATTTAGATTTATGTGTACCTTCTAATAAACCCACTTATGGTGGTAGTAGATATATCTTAACCGTAGTTGACGATTTTTCTAGAAAAATTTGGATTTTCTTATTGAAACCTAATTTGTTTAAGGTTTGCAAGAATTGGAAAATTCAAATTGAAAGTGAAACTGGCCGAAAAATTAAATGTATTAAAATTGATAATGGTTTAAATTTTTGTAACACCTTGTTTAATAATTTCTGTGTGCAAAATTGTATTAATTTTGAATTTGTCCCAAAGGCATCCCAATTTAATGGGGTTGCTGAGAGGTTAAATCATACTCTTTTGGAAAGAGTTGGATATCTTTTGACATCGTCTGGTTTACCTAGAAAATTCTGGGGTGAGGCTGCTGTAACAGTAGCGTATCTTTTAAATCGAACACCCTCTATCCCCCTTAATGGTGAAATTCCTGAAAGTAAGTGGTTGGGTAGAATTGTCGACATGTCTAATGTTCGTGTGTTTGGGTGTTCTGCTGTGATATGTATTTGCACAGATGGTTTAGATAAGAAAACTGAAAATTGTGTTTTCTTGGATTATGGTGTTACGGATTATAGGTTATGGCTTAGTTCTAGACCTGATTTTAAAACCATTATTAGTAATAATGTGACATTTAATGAAGATGTTATGCCATGTTTGAATGAAAAGTCTAAGTTGTTTGATTCTAAAATTGCTAATAATTGTACAGATTTTAATAGTGTTTTAAATAAAGTGGAGCATAATCTGATTGAGGTAGAAGAGGTAGAAAATAATTATGAAGAGTTTGATTTTCTTTTTGATTTAAGTGGTAATCAGCATGTTGTTTGTGAACCTAAAACTGTGCAATTTCCTATTTTAAAAATTGCTGAAATGGGTTTTGAAAATGTTTCTAGAATTGCTGAAATTCTCCTTGTTTTCAAGAATGAAAATTCAGAATATGAGAGTGAAAGTGAATTTAAGAAATCAGATACTCGTTTTGATTGTACTGTTGAGCATTGTACTGCTGAGCAATGTAAATATTGTGAATCTAAAGTTGTGCAATTTGATAACACTGAAGTTGCTGAAATTGATTCTGGAAATGATGATTTTGCTCATAATGCTGCTGCAAAATTGTTTACTGTACAAAACGAAAATATAAAAATTGGGAAGGAAGACGACTGTGTTCTCAATTGTGGTTATATTAATTCTGGTTTGCATGAAATTAATATTCAATATGCTGATAATGTGCAAATTGATGCTAAAATTGAGTTTGTCAATTTTGAGAGAGAAGTTACCTCTGTTTGTAAAAATTGTATTCAAAGTGAGGTGGAGACTGATATAATTGACATTAGAGAGAAAGAAATTGAAAATTCTATTTTTCGTTGTCATTCTGAAAATTAGAACATGGTTGCTGATTATATAAATGTGCAGTTTTGTGATATACATGTTGATAATACTAGTTGTGAATCAGAATTTGTGCATTGTGATGTTCAAACTGATGTTGATATTGTTTTTGATTCTTTGTTGTATATGAAAACTGCTGCTGAGCAATACACTGATTTTGTGAATGAAAATGTTGTTATCTAGAGTGTATGGTTGATAATGAGGAAAGATCTAGTGAAACTGATATTTTTGTTGGTGATTTTCAAATTTTATCTGCTCCAAAGCAGTTTGTGAATAAAATTGAAAATACAGTTTCTGAGATTAAAAATAATGTAGAAACTGATTTGGATAATAGTAATGAGTTAGAAAATTACTTATTTGTTAGAAATGAAGTTAGGAATAGTCCTAAGGTGTTCTCTATGTTTGGTAATTTTGATTCATCTTCTTTACCTGGAGGTATGTTTGAGAGCTTAGATGTGGATAAACCTATGAGTGATAGGAAATTGTTCAATCCCGAAAGTAAGTCTCAATATTTTGTGTTAAAAGAAGATAAGAGCTCATTAGGTGGTAATGAGTGTTTGAAATCAGTTTCTAGGCTTTGGTATTGGCTTCTTTGTGTTATGTTATCATTGGTTGTGAATGATATGAAACTTGTGAAGCTTGCTACTGTTTTTGTTTGTATATTGTGTACTATATGTTTCTGTTGTATGATACATTTACAATGTAGAGAAGGTTTGTCAACAATTGAATTTAGAAATATGTCTGCTGTTGAAGATACAATATTGTGGAAAATTAAGAAAATTGTATTTTGTTTGAAAATTATGTTTTGATACATTTGATTAGCTGTGTTTAACATGTATAGATGGTAAGCTAAAGTAATGTATTGTTTGACTAACTTGTATATATCTTTTTCTTTATGCAGGTATATAATCCAAAATTTAGGCGATGATGATCCCCATTTACTCGGACAAAAAATCAGGTGGAGGATTTGTTGGATTTTTTGTCCTTCGGATCCACCCCAATATTATACACAACACACCAATTATCTAAGCAGCCCATTCGAACCGGGCTTGGCTTGTGACCCACAACCCACTTACTGACTCTTACCTGTGATCCGCACCCGCGCCCATGACCCGACCCGTTACCCGGCTGGGGTCCTAGTCCCTTTGCGAGGCTTGATCTGGGCCATTGATTATAGATATTGATTTTGGCCGTCCATTTCCATTTGGCATGTATATATATATATATAGTCATTCTTTGATTAATCTCTCTAATCTCACTCTCTCTCGCTCACTACTCTCTGGCCTTTCCCCTCTCTCTCTTTCGACCCATTGCTCTTCTCTTTCCAGTGACTTTCACGGCGGGTCACGGCGGTTTCTCGGTGGTGCCTTCCTCCTGTAATCTTGTGGAGTTCCTGTGGCACGTTTTCCCTTTTGTATGTAGTCGTTCGTAGCCGAAAGGGGCTCGTTCGACGCGGTAGGCCTTTGGGTGCCTTGTTTGTGTTGAAGTGGGGTTATATATCGTGTGTATCGCGGTCGTGGCCGGTTCGTTTATATAGTCGCTAGATTAGATGTGTATTGTGTCGATTTTGTGCTTTTCCGAATTGGTTGGGGCTGAGCCTAACCAAACTAGTTCAATATTTGTGTTGTTACTTGATTTCATAAATAAAATACTTAAATCCGTTAATAAATTTCATAACATTATCCGTTAGTATTCCATGAGCAAAATTTATATCTTACCATGAACAGTGTAATCTGTATATATTGCATATGTAAATGAATATGCACAATTTTTATGGATGAAACAATTATGGTTTGATTATGAATTTCAATTTAATGAATTTTTTATCCATGATTACGTTTTTTTTTTTTAAAAAAAAAAAAAAGAAGAAACATGACACTATTTTGTTAGGTAATGACAAAAAATATAAAATAATAATATCATTGTTGTAAGAGTGTGTTGATATGACTGTAAGTGATATGTGATTAAATAAAATAAATGAATATTTCATATAACACGAGGTGATGGAAATAAAGTGTGGGATCGTTTTTTGTTCATTTAAATCATATTCTTGAAACTACTAATATTTTACCTTAAGAGATGTATAAGGAGACTTCAGTGATATTAAGGTTAAGAACATTATATATTATAAATAAATAAATAAATAATTGTCACTTGACATTTTTTAAATCCAATAAATAAGGACATATGTTTAATTAATTATTATTAAAATAATTTCATTAGTGATTTTACCATTGTGCTACTATTCTTTAATCATAATTAAATTTAAAACAATAATTAAATATGTCTGACAAAGCTATGAACTACTCATTCATTGGTATTGTGATGATTAATCATTCTCTATAACTTTAGATAGTTTATGTTGATTTTAATTTGAAATATTAAATGAATAAACTGAGCACATACTTCATTTGTTTTACTTTATTTGTCAATTATTTCTATTTTTTTATATCTCATCTCATTTTTTTAAAAAAAAATAATTATACATTTTAATTATAATTTAAATTTTATAATTAATATTTTTAAATTTTAAATTAAACTAATTAATTATCTTAATTTTAATTTATAATTATTTATTAATTATTGTATTTTACCTAAACTTCCGTATTTATATTAAATTGGACATAAAAGTGGGATGAAATAAGTATTTTTTATATATTTTTTTATTTAACATATTATATAAATAATAATTTAATAGAAAATATTATACTATTAAAAATTTTATCTAATACTTTAAAGAAAATTAGCGAAATAAGATCCTGATATTATTTATTTTTATATGAAAACACAAAAATATATATAAAAATATGTCAATAATATAACAAAATATTTTATATTAAATTATTAATTTTATTTTTTTATAAATATATAGAATATATACTATGTATTATTTTGGGGTAAGTATATATAATGTTTTTTATAATATTAATAAAAAATGGTTGTAAATAAATAAATCTGATGATCACGTTTAAGAATATTTTTATGCTTTTTAAATACAAGGTTAAATTAAGCAATTTTCCATTCGTGCGAAGTGAGAATTGTGGTACATAACTACATATAATTAAACGTCGTCTTCTCGGCACGTGCTGGCCTTGGCCTGGCACAGCGGAGCACAGACAGCCAGTCATTTTACCCGGTCAATACAGCAAAGCGCGTGGGGATAGAATAGAAAACTACGCCCCTATCGTAGCCCCGTCATGTCATCAATCATAAATTCAATTGTAGTATCCTAAAACAATGAACCAAAACAAATAATTTAGTAAGTACTAGTATCTAAAAAGGACAAAAAGCGGACCACGAAACGACGGGTAGAAGGGATCGCGGATGAGAGATGAGATGCAATCAAACAAAACCAAAAAAAAAAAGAAAGGCCCCAGGGCTACTACTGGCTAGAGCTGGGCGAGTACCCAATGCTCTCCGTCAATATCGACGCGGAAACCGTTGAGCCGAGCGAACAGGTCCACGGCCCTTCTGACGCCATAGTCGGCCTCGTCGTTGAAGTAGTCGTGCCCGAACAGAACCCCGTCGGGCCTCAAGACCCGGTAAGCCAGGTTGATGTCCGCCCAGGCCGAGTGGAAGTCATGGGCTGCGTCCACTTCCACTAAGTCGCCGTAGACGCCCCAATCACACAACCCTCGCAGCGCCGTCCCCGCCGAGAACGGCAAGAACACTATCGACTCGGTGGCGTTCGCGTTCATCACGTTCTTCATGAATTGGTATAGCAGCAGCACGTCCCCGTTCACCATTTTCAGGCTGTTCTTCTGGTCGATGTACCCCGGCCACCCCCGAAAGTCGTCTATGCATATAATCTGGGTCTCCAGCCCCAGCCGCCGGGTCAACCCCGCCATGTGCGTGGCCGATGCCCCAAGGAAAGTCCCCACCTCGACGATGGTCTTGGGCCTCACCCGGCGGATGAGGTTCTCGAACACGGCCCCCTCGGACCCCCACCCCTTCTTCCATTCCTGGAAAAGCAGCTTCTTGGCGTGGGCGGGGGGGAAGTTGTCCCAGGGGGATGTGCCGTTGAAGACCCGGTCGAGGATTGTTTTGCGGGCGCGGCCGGGGGGCAACGGATCGGAGCACTGGCTGCTGTCGGAGAAGGTGTTGTGGTCCACCAAGTCTCTGGCCTGCTGAGAAATCCTGGGATTTGAGTGGGATGCGTATCCCAGGACGTACGACAGGAGGAGGAGGACGCAATAGGCCGCTGGTTTACCCCACTTCTTGAAGGCGAGGGCGGCCGTCCGTTTCTGGTGGATGCGGTGGCGGAGGAGGTCCGAATGATCCTCTGACTTCATGTTGTTGTTGGCTGGCTGGCTGGCTGCTGTTAATTCCGATTTGATGATGCCCTCCTCTTCTTTTCTTTTCGTTTCTTCCTTCTTTCGTTATTGCCTCTATTTGCCTGTTGTTGCCTTGGAACGGAAACAGGGTGGGTCGTTTTTCTGACCCGTGCTAGGAAGGAGCCGTGCTGATCTAGCGTTGAAAGCTCCTCCTATTTAATAGCCCAATATGGGAACCGGAGAATTTCCGGGTTGGACTGGAGCTTGTGCGTTGTGTTGGTTTCATCCGTTATATGATAAAATAGTAGGATCCATGAATTCAGTATTTTATTATGTTTATTTATTTTCTTCAATAAAATATTGCTTCGTTATTTATTTATGTAATAATTATATAATTTTAGCTTAGCAATATTCATCTTTAGTTCATAATAATAATTGATATATTTTTTATTTTAAATTATCTCATGCCAGTTCATATATTTTTATTTTTATTAAATTCATTTATTTTAAATATATTTAACAAATATAAATAAATTTAGTTAAATTTTTAATTCTATAAAATTCATTTAAAATCTTTTTATTTTTATATATTCTTAATAAATAATTTTTTTTAGTTAAATTTTATTTTATTTATAAAATTAGTTTATATTTAATGATAAAAAAAACTATATTTTATTAATATTATATTATATAAAATTTTATTTTCTATAAAATAATATAAAAAATATATCTATATTTTTTAAGATGTAGCATTAAAAATACTTAAATATATATATTTAAATTTTTTTTCGTATATATTAAATTATATTTTTAAAAAATTAACAATAAATGAACTAACTATCCCTGTGGATGTTTGTTTCGCATTATAACAAAGCATAGATCGTTCATAGCATTTAAATACGCAAAAACCTTGTTAAATTGTTTAATTGTAATAAGAATTTATCCTTTGAAGAGTGATCATTTCAAATTTGAGTATATTATTAGTTGTATTTTTTATTTATTTTTTTATGAAAATCATTACAATATTCTCCTTTTGACTTTTTATTTTTTTTCTGAAAAAAAAATATATTTTTTAATTTTATTTTAAATTTTTAAAATTATAATTTTTTAAAATTTTAATTAAATTAATAAATTATCTTAATTTTAATATAAAATTATTTTTATTATACAATAATTATTTTTATTAATATATTCTTAATTATTTTCTAAATTGACACAAAAAGTTTGCAAATTTTTGGGAGTTAGGCGGACAAGCAAACTATTTATGTTAAGAGTTGACGTCTAAGCCTGCTGGTGTTTTTGTCTGTTGGCAACTTTTGAAATTTTCAATTTAAACTTCGTATTTTTCTAATTTTTTAAATATATATCACATTTATTAAAGTTTGGATCATATAAATAAAATATAATGATTGTATCCGTCCCCGCTATGTATAATATAGTAAAAATAAATAAATTATTATTGATAATGTAAAATACTCATATGATATATTCAAAACTCTCTTGTTTATATGTTTTTTTAATAAATAAATATATAAATTTATATTTACAATTTTTTATATTTTATAAAATTAATTTATATTAATTATAAATAAATAAATATTTTTTTATTTATTTGTGTTATATAAAATTTTATTATTTATAAAATAATATTTATATTATATATATTTTATTAAAATATACTAATATTTTAAATATATATGTCTATTTTAAATTTCTTTTAATCATATATTAATTTTTATTTTAAAAATAATAACAATATCAATTATATAATAAATAATAATATAATATTATAACTAAATTAATTTAGATAATATTATATATTTCATCCATCCTAAATAATTTAAATATAAATTATAATTATAAATAATTAAAAAATATATTAATATAAATAATAATAAATTAAGATAACTATATCATTTAATTAAAAAATTTAAATTATGAAATTTAAAATATAAGTAAAATATATAAGTATATTTTTTAGAAAAATGACAAATTATATGAAACGAATAAATATAGAAATATAGTCAAATGATGTAGAATAAAAAAAAAAATTGAATAGTTATTTAATATGCTCTCCGTTTACTTCTAATGTTTACATATTTCAATTTTCGTCCGTCAAATTCAAATATTTATATTTTCTTTTTTAATAATTGTGGACAGTACCACTAATTACTAATACTTCTCCTGTCTCAAAACTATAGTTTGAGTTATTATATTTACACTGGTTTAATTGGACCAACTTGCAAATTATGAATTTTATTTTATTTTATTTTACTTAATTTTCATGTTAGTGTTGGAAAAAATTGTTACTTGGTCTCCACCTCCACGTCAGCTTCGATGGTGTTCACATCAGCTCCGGTTTGTCCACATCAGCGCACGTGCTTCTGATATGCATTTTTCCGGCATCGAAAAATAGAAATAGTGACAATGCTTCAATTATTGTCATAAAATCAGATGTCAAATAATTACTGTTTAAAAATAATAATTGGATCCAATTACATAATAAAATTTACAATTTTTCCAAAAAATATATTATAAATACTAAAGCTGAATGAAGAAAATATGATATAAATAGATATGTTGATATAATATAATAAAAAAATTATTTTTTAAAATATTATAAATATAATGACATATTTATTTTGTTATTTCTTAAAGAAAACAATTTTTAAATTGAAAAAATTCACACAGCCTTATACATCAAGTCCAATCCAAATATGCATATGACTCTGGTTGGCAAATGCCTATAAAAAAAAATAAATATTAATAATAATATATAACGTATTATATAAATACATATCACAAAATATATATTAGGAAGAGGTAGGCGTGGGCGGGCGGATGACCCAGTGCTGGCCATCGACTTCAACTCGTAGATGATTTAATCGAGCAAATAAATGGACAGCTCTTCTAACACCTCCGCTGTCCGCGGAAGTGAAATAGTCATGACCAAAGATGACTCCACCGGGCCTCTTGAGGATCTTGTAGGCTGCGTTGATGTCGGACCAGGCGGCGTGAAAGTCGTGGCCCGCGTCCACTTCCACCAAATCCCCAAACACCCCCCACTCACACAGCTTCACCAGCGCCGAGCTCGTCGAGAATGGCATCATCACCACCTGCTCCGTCGCCTTCAAGCCCGCCACGTTCTGCATGAACTGTTGCATCAGCAGTACGTCTCCGTTTACCATCTTCAGCTCCTTGAACTTCTCCTATATGTCGTCAGTACACAGCAGCAGCAGGCACCAGTCCACCACCGCGCGCCATCAATTTAATTAGCGAAGAGACAGACACACTAGTTAGTTAGTTAATTAATTAATTAGCAACACAAGCTAAATACACTAGTATGATCTTCATCCATTAGATCTGCAGCTAGCTTGCCTGAAACCCCGGCCAGCCACGGAAGTCGTCAACGCATACTATCTGGGTGTCGCGGAGCCCGAGATTCCGAGCCACGCTGACCATGTGGAGTGCCGACGCACCAAGAAATGTTCCGACTTCGATTATTACCCTCGGCCGCACTTCCCGAATGAGATTCTCAAAGACGGCCCCATTCGAACCCCATCCTCTAATCCTACGCGGACGGAGCAAGGGTGCAACGTGCGCCGGGGGGAAGTCTTGCCAGGGGGAAGACCCGTTGAAAACCCGGTCAAGAATTGTTTGGCGGACGTGGTTTGAAGCTACTGGGCTGCCACACCGGGTTAAGAACAGGTTGTGGTCGTCGTCTCCTGCTTCTGCTCGATGAATTCTGGGAGGGGGAGGGAGTGGCTCGGCCAAGGAAATTGGCGTCGTCGGTGCAGCTTCCCGGCTGGAGGAGTAGGATGGTGATGATGATGACGACGATGACGAGAGGCGACCCAGGGAATAGAAACATACCAGGATTATCAAGTACCCTCCATATCTCGTGAACTTAACAGCCACTAGTCTGTTGCGGTGCAGGTGATGGTGGTGCGGCGCTGGCGGCAGGCTTGATGCCTCTGATCGTGTCGTCGTCATCATCTTGCAGACTAATTTACATCGATCCCACTAATTAAGCTAGTAGTAAAAAGGAATTTGTTACGTACGAAATTTAGAATTAGGTTAAAAGCCCAAGGTAAAACGAGGAATGGGCCTGGCAATAGGGTTGATTGAACTGGCTGAAGGACACCGTGAGGAAATCAAGGAAAATAAATTTATTTATTTATTTCTAAGAAAAATTCAGGACGGAAGGTCTTCAGGTCGAGAGGTCCGCAAGACGGAAAGACCTCAAGTCGGAAGGTCTTCAGGTCGGGAGGCCCTCAAGATGAAAGACCTCAAGTCGGACGGTCTTCAAGTCGGGAGATCCGCAAGACTGAAAGACCTCAAGTCAGACGGTCTTCAGGTCGGGAGGTCCGCAAGACGGAAAGACCTCAAGTCGGAAGGTCTTCAGGTCGAGAGGTCCGCAAGACGGAAAGACCTCAAGTCGGAAGGTCTTCAGGTCGGGAGGCCCTCAAGATGAAAGACCTCAAGTCGGACGGTCTTCAGGTCGGGAGATCCGCAAGACGGAAAGACCTCAAGTCGGAAGGTTTTCCGGTCGGGAGGTCCGCAAGATGAAAGACCTCAAGTCGGACGGTCTTCAGGTCGGGAGATCCGCAAGACGGAAAGACCTCAAGTCGGAAGGTCTTCCGGTCGGGAGGTCCGCAAGACGGAAAGACCTCAAGTCGGAAGGTTTTCAGGTCGGGAGGTCCTCGAGACGGAAAGTCGTTGAGATGGGATATCCGCAGGTCGGGTAAACTGTAGGTCGGATAGAAGGACGAAGTCGGGCCAAAAGAGCGGAAGGTCTGTGGTCGGCTCAAGGAGTGAAATATAGGGAATTTTGGTCTGCTGGGGACACGTGTCAGCATAAGAAAGGTTGGAAGACGGTTGAGAAGGAGACGTTGTAACCGTTCGGGTGACGGTTTTCAGTACGGTTTCCCAGGGAATATTTAAGGATTTGGATCATCATTTGGCAAGGCATCTTCAATCAACTTCAACAAAGCAAAGTCAGATTTGGGGATCACCACTTTAAATTTCAGTCTTTTATTTTTCAGTTTATTTTCTATACCATACAGTGTTTAGAGATTCCTAATCTCAGGCACTAATTAATCAAGTTTAAGGATATTTTCTATATCTTTGAATTTTACTTTATTTTTGTTGAAAAATTACATCAACAAATTGGCGACCACAGTGGGAGCAAGACAAAATTGCTCATTCCAATTCCGGCGATAATTTCATACGTCTTAGATCCGGCCGAATCATCGGAAGGGTCCATATGGCAGGGTCACAACCGCAAGCATCTTCGACACCGGTGGGAGAATCCGTTCCACCACCCATTGTGCCAAATGCCGGGGAAATCCCACAACCACCAACTGATTGGTGGTCTTATGTTCAACAAATGAACAACCAGCATACCTTGGTTATGCAGAATATGTTGCGTGAGCAACAAACGAACATGTTGCGTGAGCAACAGAGTCAGTTGCAGAACATGATAGATCAAGCATTGTCAAGGGTTAGTCTTCAACCCACTCAAACGCCACCAGGAGTGTCACCGTCCAGACCACAGGCAAATTTCGCAGGGCCATCATTCGTGGATAGTACATTCCCAAGTGCCACAAATCCCAACCGAATGGATCGGGGAAAAACTCCTTTGACTTTTCCCAACAATGTTCCACTGGGACCAAGGGTTACCAGTTCGCAGCCGAACAATACAAGGGAGGACAGGCCTGAAGGATATATACATGATCCGATTCATATTCCTGTGCAGGATCCGTTCCAGGTTCCTGATCATCAACGCTTTCATGTAGATCCTGATGAGATTGCACATATATTAAGGGATCAGTATGGATTAACTCCTCAGATGGCTAACCGCCCTGCATATCAAAGACCTTTCCCAGAAAGGATCATTCATGAACACCCTCTCCCAAGGAATTTTCGACCACCCGACTTTCATGCATTCTCAGGGGAGGACGGATCTTCCACCATAGAACATGTTGGTCGGTTCACAGCACAATTAGGAGAGGTTGGCAATAACCCTTTTTATAAGTTACAGCTGTTTGGTTTGTCTCTTACCAGAACGGCGTTTTCATGGTTTGTAAGTCTACCTCCTGGACAAATTCAGACATGGGAAGGATTGGAGATGGCATTTCACGCTAGATTCTTTAATCCTTTACCAGTTGTTTCTTTAACTGATTTACTTGAATTGAGACAGTATCCAGAAGAAACTGCTTCACAGTTTATAGAAAGGGTGCGATTGATGAAGGGACGATGTCCTACGGTAATCAGTGAGAAAGAGATGACCAATTTAGTGGTCCGGAATATGCATAATCGTTTAAGAAAGGCACTCACTGCCCTGGATGTTGAGGATTTGGCAAATCTTGCATCCAAGGCAGGACGTCTAGAGTCTTTGTTCAGAGAGGAAGATCAGCATAACAGGCGTAATAGAGGCCAACATATGGCGAGTATGGGAACAGAAACATGCGACTTTGATTTTAATCAGTCAGAAGAGATGGCAGCCGAAATCCTTTCTGGAAAACCGTATGTATGTCCTAAATTGAAGCCAGTACCAGGATCTGAAGGAAAGGAGCAACCGACCTTTGATAGTTCGAAAGCTGATGAAATCTTTGATATCCTACTGACTGATGGGCAGATCCGTATTCCAAAGGGCCAAAGACTTGCCACTAAAGAAGAAATCAAAGGGAGACCATATTGTCGGCTCAAATACATCACTTTAGGTGTAGACCAGCAACCATTTCCGAAAGTAACAACTGCAATGGTTGACATCCAACCAAGTTCGGAAACAAGGAAAAGTTCGGTCAATAGTGGACAAACAGGGGAGCAAACTCAGGTAAGTCCCGGAAAAAAGAAAGGGAATCAGCCAAATAGCAGCCGACCGGAAGAACGACTCAAGGTTGTTGAAAGGCCAGTCGCTGAAAAATGGGACCGTCCAGACGGTTCTTTTAACGTGGAAGTGAAGGAAAAGGTTTTAGTGAGAGACCACCCGACCAGAAAAACGGGTTCAGTCGGGAACGATTGGGCTCGAAATAAAAAGCCTTTACCCGTTGATATAGATCCTCGTTTCCCAGGTATGAATCGTACACAGATTCGCAATGCCAAACGCAGGTATGCTGCAAAGTATGGGAAACGAGTTCCTGCAGTGCAACAAAGAACCGACGAACAAAATGCGGCCGACCACTTGACAGGAGATCAGTCCATTAGAGTCTTTACAGAACAAACGACCGACGAGCAGGGAGCGGCCATTCAGTCTCCAATAAGTCGGTCCAGTCGGGTCTGGTCAGGAAAGCAACCGAAGGACGGATTAGGAGCTTCCGACTATACCAAAAGAAGTTCGTCGGGACAGGGGAAAGGTAAAGGAATGGCAGATGAAATAATTAAAGGTTTTAGATGCCAACATTGTGAACGGATCAACATCAATCCATCTCTGGAAGAATTTCGTATTGAATCCTTGACGGTTCAATCTCGAAATGAGACGAAGGAAGAAGTGGTGCCTACAGAGGAAAATTCAAGATCTGTTAAATCTCGTCTGGGACCACGAATCCCTTGTCGAATGACAGAGGTTAACCAGATGAGTGATGAACCGACGTGGGCGAGTCTGGTAGATGATACTATGGACGAACCTTTATGGGCATTCTTGGCAGATGGCGAATTAGAGGAAACAGAGTGGGCAAAGATTACAGATTCTGAGCCTCAGTCGGAAGCACCTTCAATTGTGTTTCCTCCTATTCCAGAGGGTGCGAACTCCCATTTGAAACCCCTGTATGTTAATGCTCACATTTGTGGGAAACCAATCACAAAGGTTTTCGTGGATAATGGAGCAGTCTTTAATGTTATGCCATTGAAGACTCTCAAGAAGCTAGGGAAAGGAATTCATGATCTGTCCCCTGTGGAATTCGAAATGACAAGTTTTACAGGGCAGCCGACCAAGCCTGAAGGTATGATGGTTGCCACAATTGAGGTCGGACCAAAGAAAATTTCCACTGTTTTCTTTATTGTGGACGCAGATACTACATACTCTCTTTTGCTGGGACGAGATTGGATTCATGCCTCTCAATGTGTGCCATCAACCTTGCACCAACAGTTAATGTTCTGGGAAGGAAATCAGGTCTTTAAAATGGAAGCGAATGACAACCCATTCGACGTAACAGAACAAGTGGAAGAGTCAGTGTTTTATTCTAGTCATTTGGCTCCGATGTCTCAGTTGTATATGGCCAGGGAATACCCAAACAAGGGTTATAAAGTCACTGGCCAGAACTCGATGTTCTATTAAAAGAACACCTTTATTGTATGGCTCATGATAAAGCCACACCCATTTCTGTATAAGTTGTTTGTTATGGAAGATACAACTTTAGAAGTATGTAGTTCTCTTATTAATAAGTTCTATTTAAAACAGTTATTACATAAAGTAGAAAATAATAAAGAGATTCTGGATGTTCACCTCCAAGAAGATGAACAATTTCGTTGGCCCGACTTATTAGAAAAAACAGAACCAACAGCTTCATCACAAGACCCGTTATTGGAGTTTAATTTAGGAACCGAATTGGTTCCAAAAGTGATCAGGTTAAGTGGTTATTTGTCTAAAGAGCAACAAACAATGATGCTTGAAGTTATTAGAAACAACATTGATTGTTTAGCGTGGGATTATTCAGAGATGCCTGGTTTGACAAGAAGTCTAATAGAGCATCGATTGCCCATCAAAGAAGGTTGTAAACCTTACAAACAACCTCCAAGGCGAATGAGTCCAGATCTGATGCCTCAAATCAAGGAAGAAATCCAAAAACTTCTCAAAGTGGGTTTCATTCAACCTTGCCGTTATGCGGAGTGGCTGGCTAATATTGTGCCAGTGGTCAAGAAAAATGGTAAGATAAGGATATGCATCGACTTCAGGGATTTGAATCTAGCTACCCCTAAGGACGAATACGTGATGCCTATGGCCGACATGCTGATAGATGCAGCAGCAGGGCATAAAATCCTTAGTCTGATGGATGGCTATGCAGGTTATAACCAAATATTCTTGGCAGAAGAAGACATTCCTAA